AAATCTCTAGTTCTCTCCAAACAAAACCCTAACCAATAGTATAGAAAATACATCTTTTCTGTGCTCCAAATATCCCTAATTTTCTTCTCAATTCTCTCTTCCAATTGTTTCATATATATAGAAATCCTAAAATCATAAACATACTAGGAATTCTAAAATAAAAAACAAAATAGATTAGGAATCCTAATAACCTGTTACCAAAACAGATTTAGAATCATGTTACCAAAAAATATTAGGAATCATAATAACCTGTTACCAAAACAAATTAGAAAATATATTAGGAACCCTTCGTGTAGTGGTTAATGTGATTACCAATGGAGGTGCCCTTCTTCAATTGAAAGCGATAAAGTCTCATCTTCAAATGCAAGTGGTTCTCTACACTCTTGGTGAAATACTTGCTCTCTAGGATCTCCCAAATCTTCTTAGCCAAAGTCTCATTGATCACATCATATTTTAAATCTTGAGTCAAACAATATCTAATTACACCACACGCCGTTCTATTCATCTTTTTCCAAACATTCTCTTCATTGTCGTCCGGTTTCCTATCCAACTCCAAAGTATCTTCTAAATTTTACGCATTGAGCGCATCCAAGACTTCACATCTCTAAAGAACAAAATTATTTGTGCCATTAAACTTCTCCATATCTATCTTCATAGAGTGGATATTCAAACTTTGGACGATCTTCACGCAGGAAGTACCCTCCACAACTCATTCTTTCCTGACCATATTTCTCAAAGCACCAAAACAAATGCTAAACAAATGAAGAATAGATCCAAAACTGAAAAAGATAGAGTATTTATCAAAAAGATCCTACCTTTATCATTAAACGAAGCCCTAGACGAGCCTCCAAAACGACATACTTCTCCAAATAGCCCAAGCGTAGCTCGAGCTCTGATACCACTTGTTGAGCGCTGCGGAAACCAAATAATCAAACCAACATGCTACGAGAAATCAAATCAAACGAACGTCGAGAGAAGGCCAAACAAACCAAATCAATGCCACAAACACAAACAACCAATTTTAACATGGTTCGGCAAGTTGCCTACGTCTACGGGGCAAGAAGGGGATGTGGGTTTTCACTAATAGAGAAGAAGGGTACAAACTGAGATTAACAAATCACTCAAACTCACAAATTAATCTCACTAACAAATCTCTAATTCTCTCCAAACAAAACCCTAACCAATAGCTCAGAAAATACCTTTTTTCTGTGCTCCAAATATCCCTAATTTTCTTCTCAATTCTCTCTTCCAATTGTTCTATATATATATAAATCCTAAAATCATAAACATACTAGGAATTCTAAAACAAAAAAAAAAACAGATTAGAAATCCTAATAACATGTTACCAAAACAGATTTGGAATCACGTTACCAAAACAGATTAGGAATCCCAATAACCTGTTATCAAAACAAATTAGGAAACATATTAGGAACCTGCTATCCAACATGAAGTGGGTGTAGCATCAACTAAACTCGCAAGTCCGCAAGCATGTATCATGATGTTGGAAAGCTTGAGTCGGAGAAGTCAACCGTTAATTACGCGAATAAAAGTATGTACCTCGACATTGGCCAATGCGGCTGCATAAGTGGTGCGTGTGCTATGGGCACTGGCAACACTGAGACCTGAAAAACGAAGTTAGAACTACAAATTTTAGAAGATCCGTAATCTGCATATGAAAAATTCTCCAAATTTTCTGCTATAAAATTTTCTTGTGTAAATGTGTATTTCAGAAATTTGGAAGGCATCTTGTGTCAAGGGCTTAAGTTTATATATTGGATGGCAAGAGAGCGACATGTATAGAGAATAGGTTAAGCTTTGAACTTGAACGTCTATACATTTAATTTTCGATAAGTTCTGTTTTGATTCGTTCACAAAACACTCACATGTCCACATACTTCAGGCAATGCCTGGGGGAAAATACAATAAATTTGACAATACATATAGCCTGAAATCAAGGTAAGTATATATAACATCAACCAGAGCACATTACCAGCTCAAACAAACTAAAGCTCCAACAATGCGCAAAACCATTCAACTGTAGGTCGTGAACCCATTGTTGAGACTCAGCAAGAATTTTGCAATGAAGAATGGATATCAGTGCAGGGGTTTTATATCTTTCACTATGGCCTCATACGGCCCCAAGGCCTGCAAGTACATGCTGAATTTCTCTCATGCATCAATAGAAGGACAAATTTTCAAAACCAACCCCTTTCACTATTTATTTTAAAAAAAACGACTGCTTTTGCAAAAATTTTCAATAACTGACCTGGTTTCAGCCCTGGAGCTGAAACCAGGTCGGTTTTTAAAATTTTTTATCCGAAACTTCACGGGAGTTGAACTCCCGTGAAGTTTCGTAGTTCAAAATTTTTTTTGAACTGCGAAACTTCACGGGAGTTTAACTCCCATGAAGTTTAGCAGTTTTACTAAACTTCACGGGAGTTCAACTCCCGTGAAGTTTCCGAAGTTTTTTCACAAAAACCGACTTGGTTTCAGCGCCAAAGCTGAAACCAGGTCGGTTTTTGCAATTAAGTTTGAAAGAGGTTGTTTTCTGGGATTAAATTTCCAAATAGGTTGGTTTTGAAAATTTGTCCATCAATAGAACTGGCTCGCTCTTTATCTGTATATGTTGAATTTCTCTTTTGTTCACTTATCAACTTTCATATGTTTAAATGACACTGTATTATCGTTTTAATCAAAGCTCTGCCAACTCCTCCTGTTGATCTACTAACATTTGTCGTTGTCCTGAGATGGGAAAGTTTAGCACCACAGTTACTTTTCTTGGGCATATTTGTGTATACACCCTTTGCAGTATCGGCGTTTCAAATTATTACCCCTCTAGTTTTATTTTTTGCAGACATCCCCCTCAATGAACTTTCTTTTTACTCTTTTAGCCTCATATAAAGAGGTATTTTTTTTAAACAAATAGACCTCCTGAGGATAAATATTAGAACAAAAAACATTCACTCAGGAGGTACTATGTGCAGAAACAAATAGAACTGGAGGGGTAGTCAGATGAAAACATCAATACCACATGGGGTCTACATGCAATTAAAACCTAATTTTCAATAACCATCAATCAACCCCCTCTAAATATTAGTGTGTTACATAACTGATTCACGATTTTCGCTATGCTATGGTTAATCCAAGTACTCCTCAAGATTGCTTGATACATCTACATTCTTCTTCGGACCATAAAATGCATGAACGTGAACTTTTTTTCTTCTTCCTTTTGTTGTACATTTACAATTTAATCATCCTTGAAATGAAGAATTACAAATGAACAAATTAGACCCTTCAAGCAAAGCAAAATTTCACTCCTATATCACTTTGAGACCGAAAAATTAAGAAAGAAACGCAATAATTAACAACAATTAATGAAAGGGGTGACATAATAAACCCTAACTGGATAATTGGCTTGTTTTTAGGGGTTAATGTACTGACAAACTATGATATTATAGAGCAATTATGGAACAGGGCAAAAAGCATGCTAATAAAGAAGATTCCAGAGATCCTAAACGGGAATTAAAAAAAATACAAACAGAAGCACTAAAGTGTAGATAAATCAGAAAAAGGGCCAAGCAAAGCAAAAGCTACAGATATTGGAACCTTGAAAATTTGATCGTCCCATAATTAACTTTGATTGATGGATGTTGTTGGATTTGTCAGTTCAGTTAGGATTTCTTTTCTCATCATGCACTCACATCTTTTCTCTTCCCCACTGCTTCATCTTTCTATTCTCCTATGAATCCAATCTCATTTCTAATTCCTGATCTACTTATTTTCTCTTTTGAGTTGAGTTTTTACAAATTTTGTTGTACGTACGTGTCTATGTTAGTGGAACAAGGAAGAAGCTGAGGCTTCTGACACTACCACATAAATGATCTATTGCAACAGTTAAGGCGCAACGGTTTTAACTGTTGCGTTAGAGATCTATCGTAACAGTTTTTAGTGTCTAATACAACATTTAATAGAAAACCGTTGCCATAGAACTAATAATTATTGTTGGACTTAATAATTATTAGTGGCCTTAGACTTAATAATTATTAGTGGCCTTTGAGCTTTAGTAAAGCCCATGTTTGACCGCACCGCTTAAACCCCACCGCTGCTTAAAAGAAATCTCTCTCCCTCAAATCCCTAAAATCGCCGCCGCCATGGCCAAAAAATCCCGTCGCTGAATTCGTCTCTCTCTCTCAAAAATTCCGCCATGGCCTAAAAGCGGCGATCTCATCGATCACTGAATTCGTCGCTGTGTTCATCGTGGATCTCATCTCCTATCTCCTCTCTGATATCATCTCCTACTCTCGTTGGTCTCGTCGCCGTTTTCAGTCAGCGCCGGAGTCCATCTTCTTCATTATTCGTCTCTCTCTCTCTCGTTGCTCCAGAAATCTAGCCCAGTCCTCGCCGGAGCTTTCTAGGGTTTCAGCTGGTAAGATTTCTGGGGTGTGTTCGAAGTTGCAGGTCCTGTACATTTGACATCCGTGGATTGGTAAGATTTCTGGGGCGATTCTTTGGGTATAATGAAGTGTTCGATGTTGATCGGATACCGAGTCTCGTCCGGCGAGATGAGTGGAAGTAGTTTCTGAGTTTGAATAATTTTGAAGATCTCGTCTTTGAATGTATCGCTAACTTTCTAAATCATGATATTCCTAGAATTGTTTGGACTTTGGACAAACTGTATGCATTATAAGAAATACAATATCTGTTATGTTATTGCCAATGTCTACTACGTTCATATGGGAGTTTCAGAGGTATATACTTGATAATTTCTAGCCAGACTTATAGGTTGAGTAAGCATTTGTTGTTGGTTAAAGTTGAACATTTTTTTACTAAATAATGAGTACAATCTCCAGGCTAATATCTGCTGCTAGGATGTTAGAGGTATCTTGGATATTCACACTGTGGGTTTTTCTTCTTGATCTAAATCTTGCACGCTGCAATAAGTTGGAGAAGCACCTTGTGCAGCAGGCCGACCAGTTATTCGGTATTTAGCATATCTTTAATTAGGAAGAAAGGGGATTATTCAGTGAACATATTATGTTAGTTTGACCAATAAAAAAAATTACCCCTTATGTATTTTGCTTCTGGTTACTTGTGAAAGAACTCGAACTCTACGTATAATCACACACTATGGCCTTGATCAAATTAGACAACTTTGTTCATTATTGAGTGCATCTGTTTCATGTATAGTGGCACGGGATGAAGTCGCATGGGTTAAGACGATACTTTAGAATTCTACTGAGATTCTGAAATATCTGCAACTTAATAGGCATGATATGAAGGCATTAAATTGATTATATTAGCACTTAACATGTGATTTTTTCCCCCTTCATTGCCTTCTTTAAATGAAACACTTCCATTGCTGTATTCCTTACACTGGATAAGAGTACACGTCTGATATTTAGGAGGTTGGCTAGTTAATTTCCTGGATTTAAGAGATGTATTCAGCTTTCTTAGAACCACGCTAAAATCAATTATGTGGAATTAAAATGCCTGAAGAAGCACACTTCCTGCATCTTTATCATTTTTCACCATTTTTGTAAATTGTTTTTAAGGTCTTTCTAAAATGTGTTTTTGAACTAATGTTGTAGTAATGTGTTTTTGAACTAATTAGATTGTATCCTATGTAACATTTTTGTGAGTCTAATACAGCAAATGTCATACTGTATACTTTTTTTTAATAATATTCAGAATAGTACTGTTGTAGCATATATGACTTGCAATGTAACTGCTAATATAAAAAGAAATCGGCTTATATAGGATACAATCTAATGAAAATTTTTATTAATGGCAACAAGAGGATTGATTTTTACATTTTATTAATCACAATATTTATATGTAGTTATTAATAGTGTTATTCAATTTTTTTCTTTCTCCAGACCATATAATAAATGGCGGAAAACAGAGATTGGATGTATAATGCTCCTAGAGTGAGTGTGGAGTTCATTAATAATGTCAATGACTTTCTTGAGAGAGCATTTGCTAATGGAGCAGTAGGGGATGAAATATGTTGCCAATGTCGCATTTGCTGTAATCGTTTTTGGTATAGTCGTGATGTTGTTTATGATCACCTTATTGTCAAAGGATTTGTGGAGAATTATTATGATTGGTTCTTTCACGGAGAGGGTGTGTCATCAAGGATGGATGTTGATGACAATAATGAAGAAGCTGATGATGTTGCTGATGATGCTCAAGACAATCTGGATGGGTTATTGCATGATGTATTTAGAGATGTAGCAGAAGAGTCTCCAGTGAACCAAGAAGATGGCTTAAGTGACGATGAAGAAAGGTTAACAAAGGAGGCAAAGAAATTTTATAAGTTAGTTGATGAAGGTAAGCAGCAGTTGTTTCCGGGATGTAAAACTTTTTCTAAACTCTCTTTTATCATCCGGTTGTATCTTCACAAGTGCATCCATGGCCTAAGCAACGAGGCATTTGAAGTATTATTAATTAGTTATGATGGATTCAGGGTCATGTTAACCATAATGACATTTTATTTTTGTTGATATTTATTTGTCAAATCTTTTGCAGAAAATGGTTATTTGTAGTTCAAAAAATGTTAATGAAAGTCCCATTCAATGCAGGAATTGTCATTTGAATGAAAAGCAAAAGGGCTTGTTTGATGGAGACCCTTAGCAATCTGTAGCCATCTATTTTACTCAAATGGAAGGTTTTGATGCAGGTGGGTTATTTCCTTTATGTTAAGCTATTTATTTTGAATAATTGCAATATCTTTTTCCCCCTCCTTGTGTTCGATAAAGACCAAGTAGGATTCATGTGAACGATAATGCGAGAGGATAGTAATGGCTTTTGTGGCTTCTTGGGTTGTTGTTATCTGAGGATAGGTGCTGGAGTCTTGCTGTTCTCTGTTCTCTGAGGTGGTGAGGGTGCCCACACTATCATAGACTTGCACCATTATGTACTACATCAATCTAAAATGACGTTATATACGTCTTGTGGTTTCTTTAATAAAAGACCGCTATAAATCTCCCGGGCTAGAATGTAAACAGAATTTGCCTAAGATATTGAAGGCATTGTCCTGGGAATCTGACTTGGCATCCTACCATGATATATATAAGGACTTCATATATATAGTTGTCTTTTATCACATTTCCAGGGTCTTGATGTAAATTTAAGCCATGTCATGAATAAAGAGGGAAAAGGGAATTCAAAGAAAAGATTGTGCTAAAACTCTAGAGAATACAAGATTAGTATATCATGGTGAGCAAATAATAGAACAACCGGAGAAAAGTTCAGGGATTCGAGGTACTAACATGAGGTAATTTTTCTGTGTAGAAAAGTTATTTCACATAACCAAATCCACAAAATAACAATAACAATAGGGGAACCAAAATGCACACAGAAACTTGAACATGACGAGCAAAAGGCGAAAAACAAGCCATAAGATGACTGAAAGAAACACACTGAGAAAATGAAGAAACAGACCGTAAAGAACCATCATAAGTTAGTGCCAAAAATGTATCTGATACAAGGACTGAACACATCTAAACCAATATTGAACCATCACTTGATTATCGATTTGTAACTGCAACTTGGACTCCTTGATTATCGATTTGTATCTATGCATTACGCCTTCTGTTTATACGTTAGCAAAGAGATGAGCTAGAAGTAAATCACAATATTTTGTCTAATTCCTGAGATTTATGGATGTGTAACTGCAGAAAGTGAAGATGCTAGGTGCCGAAGAGCTCTCAATTGGTGACCTTGAGATTTGACCTGTGAATGCATCATGGAACCCCCTGACTCTCTGCTGACGATGCTTTCAGGTCTATTTCTGTAGTCTCGCTGTCGCTGTCCTAGTGAGTATTTGACATTGAGGAACAAGTTTTTAGAAACAAATAGAGAATATAGTTTTTGACCGAGAAGTTTCATGTTTTGTAATCAAATGTTGATGTACATTGTTTGAATGTTAGTTCGGTACGATATTTTTTGAGTTGAAATGTTGGTAGTGTGGATTTAATACTTTGTAGTTTTTATACTATACTGATGTATGTTGGCACTTATCATTATGGTTGATTATGCTCAACGTAATCACTTTTATATTGTGTATTAAAATTTGATTTGGCCATGTTCTTAAAAAGATTGTCCAGGTAATTGAATACTATATTATTTTGACGTAGGAAACAAAGAACAGGTCCGATTGAGCTGTTGCAATAGCTCGATCAAAACCGTTGCAATAGCTTGATCAAAACCGCTGCGATAGCTCTATCCAAACTGTTGCGATAACTCAATCCAAACTGTTGCGTTAGGTCTTTTAAAACTGTTACAATAGCTCTAACCGTCGCCGTAGCTCTATCAAAACCATAGCTATAGCTTACTAAAACCGTTGCGTTAGGTCTTTTAAAACTATTGCAATAGCTCCAACTGTCGCCGTAGCTCTATCAAAACCATAGCTATAGCCTACTAAAACCGTTGCGTTAGATCTTTTAAAACTGTTGCAATAGCTCCAACTGTCGCCGTAGCTCTATGAGAACCATAGCTATAGCCTATTAAAACCGTTACTATAACTGCTTACCTTTTAAAACCGTTGCGTTAGATGCAAGGGCAACGGTTCAAAAAACCGTCGCAATAGAGTTTAAAACCGTTACGGTAGAGGTAGGGCAACGGCAGCATATGAGGCGGTTTGAGAACCGTCGCACTTGCTCAAGGGCGACGGTTCCATGGCTAACGCAACGGTTTTGAACCGCTGCGTTAGAGCAAATATGTGGTAGTGTGAAAGCCCTAATGATCACTGAGGGTACGTACGTTGGTCTCTGATGCATGCCAGAAAAGGATTCGGATCCTCTCCACTATAAAAAAAACAGTGGAGGGACCACTACATAATCACGGCCATTGATTATGTAGTTAATGGTTGTGATTTTTTCTTTTAGTACAAATTAGGAATGAGTGCAATACACGGGGGTATGGTAAGTGTTAGATTTAGATTGTATCATAACCGCTTACTAAATAATCAACGATTAAGATTAAAAGCAGTGGTCTCTCCACTATTTTTTTGTAGTGGAGAGGATCCAAATCCGCCAGAAAATGGCGGAGAAGAGTGGATGTAGTTCTATTTGTTGGCCTTGATTTGGCCAACAATGGAAATTTTGAGGATATATAAAGAGGTAGGAGAAGAGGGTTTAGAGGAATTTGGGGAAGGTGGTTTTTCTTTCTATTTTCTTCATATCAAAAATATTACGTGGCAATTTCATTTAACCAGACATCTAATTTCTAGAATCTAATCTTAGCCATCCTTTTGGTGCTTCATACCAAGTATATAGCATGTGCTAGTCACATGACTCATTACAACAACTACATAACATTGACTCAGTTGACCCATTACCACTACATAATATGAGCTTAAATAATTTAACAAATAATAAACTAACAAAACATCAAGTCTGTTAACTCTCCCCTTTAATGCTTTATCCTTGTATACCCATAAGCAGTGTTTTAAAAAACACTCTGAGCGGTGGCCTAGGCGCCCGCCTAGGCTGAGGCGGTGCCCAGGAGGTCTCAAAAAGCCCTGAGCGGCCAAGTTTAGGTGCTGGGAGCGCTTACGTGGCCACCCAGAGTTAAGCGGACCGCTTAAACGGCATGCCTAACACTTAAAAAAACCAATTTGGGCGCTAAAATAAACAAACCCAAACCCAAAACCCAAACTCAAACTACAGTAACCCTAATTCTCACTCACACCTGATGCCGCC